AATAAAGGCAAAGGCAGAAACTGCTCCTTCCACCCACCCTGCCCTTAGCAGGTTTCTCCCCAAAAGCTGCTTTTCCTGTGTGCCTGATTCTGGCAACACCTTCAGCTTATCCATAGGACGCGTTGGGGCACCGGCTCAAGATGCCCTGGGTCACCCCGGCAAGTCCCTGGGGGTGGGGGCTGTGGGGAGGGGGCTCCTGAGCCCCCCACCAGCCCCACCTGCTCCCAAAAGCGCTGGCACAGCTCAGAGGGTGCCAGGTGCCATTTCGGCCCTGCCTACCCCCGGGGCTGACGGCAGCACTGGGGCAGGAGCGAGCCCCGGGGCAGGGTGGGTCCCCCCGGTTTCCCATGCGCAGCTTCCCACACACCTCTCCAGCAGTGCAATGTCACCGTCACCGCATCAGCTGAGAGATATACATTTCTTTTTCTAACCCTGGCACTAGCATCAGGGCGAACAGGAGTGGCAAGTCAGTGGAAGCGTTAAGGGGCAGCACCAAAAAAAAGGAAGAGAGGAGGCAACAAAACAGCTTGTTTCTGAGCTGGTCCTGCCTGACCCACAGACACAAGCATCTCTTGCAGCTCCATGCTGGAGACCAGACCAGCAGCATAAGGATGCTGCCGGCAATGGCATGGGGGAATTTCTCTGGTCTAAAGGACACCAGTGGTTTGGACCTGCACTTTTCTGGCTCACTGTGGCTCTCAGCTCGATGCTTACTCCTTGCTCTGCTCAAGCTGAAACTCAGGCCACAAGTGCTGGGCCAGAAAAATAATTAATAACAATAATAACGCCCATCTGCTGAGAGCAGAGGGAGCTTCCCCGGGTGGAAAGCATCACCACAGGGCAAGCAACCGGAGCAACCGGTGCCCCGTGAGCTCCCCTCCACATTTCAAAGCCATGCCGGAGCTGCCTGGTGCTGACGGGCACCCAGGCAGCAGGACATCAGATGATGCTGTTTTCTGCAAAGCCCCGGCACAGAGCTGGGGGCGAGGCAGGAGTGTTCCCACGCTGCCACAGCAGCCCCAGGCCAGCCGGTGCTGCCCCATCCCCAGCTGCCAGGCCCCCAGAGTGGGGTGGGCTTCGCTCAGGAGGGATCCAGCACCGAGCTCCAGATCTAGCAGGGCTGTGCTAGCATTACATGGAGCCCCGGAGCGTGCCGGCCAAGCCGGCAGAGCCTGGTGAGCAGGTTGTGACGTAAACCCTGGGGGTGGCGGCGTGGGCCCCAACGCCCCAGTTCCCAGCTGGGCACACACCCCTGTTACAGCAAAAATGATAAATTCGCCTTTCCCAGCATCAAAATCCTTCTTGAAAGTGTGCAGCAGCCCCCTGGTCCTGCAGCCGCCCCAGCCACACCATGCCGTGCAGCCAAGCCACTGCCGCAAGAGCAGCCGCAAGCCGCCGGCTTCCAGGGGAGGCGTTGCCGAAGGACGGACGTGCCGAGCGTGGGTGAACTTTCCTGCTCTGCCTGTTGCTGGCTGGAGCACCTCGGCGTGTCCCCCCACACACCGCCGGGCCAAGCGTGCGCAGTCACGACTCCTCCACCGCAAAGCTGGTGCCTGGGCAGGTCACGTCAGCTGAGCTTGACGTTCTGAGCCTGGGGTAATTAGGGTGCAAAAGGGGTTCTTCCCTCTGAAAGGGGAGGGGGTTTTGCCTACAACAGCAGGGATCTGTGGCTTCCCCAGGGAAATTTCCCCTGGAATAAGTGATTTCCCCTCAAGCAAGGACCCGGGGTGGGAAAGAGGCTCTTCCCAACTTGTTTCCTGGGGATGGGCAGGGGACAAGCCAGGTATCACTTTCTCACTCTTATCAGGGGGAGACCTAGGGGACAGCAGTGCAAGCTCATCCACAGGTAGGGTTTGCTCACAGACACCCACAGCCCTGGTGATGAGAGGTCTCCAAAGGTGCTCAGGGCTGCAGCACCCCACTCGGAGCTCAGCAAGCCATGGGGGAAGAGGTTTCCTGCCTCCTGCACCTCTCAAGAGGTCCCTAAGGAAAGGGGCAGCACCATCACTCCCATGTGCAAGGCCAACAAAGCAGTTTCCCCCAAATGCCACGTAGGCCACCAGGTCCCAATGCCAAGGGCAGCAGACAAAAGCAGCCCTCTCCCCCATCACTACTGAGACCCCCCCCATCAGCTGGCCTCACTCCTTCCACACCCCAAGCAAAACACCAGCTCCATCCCAATCCCTGCCGTCCGGAGGAGGGAGGGAGCAAAACACTTTTTGCCCCGAGATCATCTTTAAGGGCAGAAGTCGCAAGGCTCACATCCAGGCAGGCAAGAGGTAAAGAAGGCAGTGGTGCCGCCTGCCCCAGCTCTCCTCTGGTGTAACTCCAAAACCACGGCGGGACAAGGAAACACCCTATGGAGTTTAAACACTATAGCTGGGAATAGTTTTGGGGTTCAGAGGGGTTTTCTGGGCTCTCCTCGAGTCCTACCCCCAGGCCTGGCCTTACCTTGGTAGGAGCCCAGGCACACAGAAAGGATCAGCACCCAGCCACTCCATTTGCTCTCCATGCTGTTCCCGAGATATTCCTCAGTGGCTGGTTCCTCTCCTGTGCTGCTCCCAGACTGAGGAATCTTGGATGGGTTGGAAGAAGTAGCAAGAACCCACACCTACGCGGGGCAATTACCACACCCCTCTCCTTACGCCTTGATTATAAAATCATCACCAGAGCCTGCAAGTGGAGGGAGGGACCAGAGCTAGGCAGGTATTCCCGGGAAGTCAAAAGCAGCCCAGAACCTGCTGCTCAGCGCTAACCTCGCCACTGCAAAGGGTGGGCACGGCCGGGGAACGCTGTCCTCGTGCCACGCGACAGAGCCCTTCTCTGTGCTCTTCACCGAAAAGAGCATCATCCCTTACAAAAAAGTTCAGCGGTGCAGATAAAGACCAGTAAATTCAGGACAAGCGAATCAATGATGTCTTTAGAGGCAGCCAAGTAGTTTGCTTAAAGCCTTTAAAAGACATTTATTTTATTCAAAATAAAGCAAGGAATGAAGACAAAAGGAAAGCCACATTAAATGCAAGTCAAGCAGCTTCAGCAAGAACTCCCTGCAGCCTGCGCAAGGCGGAGAAATTGCAACACAGGGCTGTTGCCTCACATCAGGCATTGCATTCGTCCGGGGAAGAGAGCGGCGGCAGCAATCCCTGGCAAGCCTCTTTAACCTGCAACTGCGCTCAACAGAACAAAGGCTTGATGGGACACGCATGTTGCAAAGCGATGGTAACTCAATGGGAACCTGAATCCTGCCACTCGGCCGCAGATTCCCAGTGACATTTTGGAATACGCCTTCTCCTGGCTCTGCAGCAAAGGGGAAGCTAACAAGATCCTTTGGCAACTAGCACACACCGAGGAAATGAAACACACCAACTTACCAGTTTACAGAAGTTTTTATTGTTCATTAAGGAAGCTTTTGTGCAAAAATCAAGACAATGTTTTTTAGAAAGCAACTGCACGTGTCCCCCAGCATAACTCAAGCGGGTCAGGTGCGACGGTCCACAGGAAGGGAGAAAAATAAAGAGACTCCCAGCGCTAGCACAGGATTTCCCCCGGTTCACCCCGCCTGACAGGTCGCTAGCATGAATACTTCACTACTAAAAACCCAAGAAAATTAAAACCTTGCCAACCTGTAAGAGCAAATATCAATCCACCCCCCCAGCCCCCCCTCAAAAAAAAAAAAAAAAATCACACTAAGAGAACACCATCCAGTTTAAAAAGATCAAACACCATACTACATGCCGTGGCGTAACACAACCCATACCTCCAGGGCAGCGACACTGAAGAGAGCCCATTTCCTATCTGGCATATCTACCCCAACTGCGATACACCGCTGGAACCACTGCACGAGCCTGCCAAGACAGAAAGCTGCAGGTATTTTACATCTTCAGGAGAAATTACTTTTCTTTTTTTTTTTTAAAGCCTGAGTGCTTCAGCATTCTGTACAAATGCAAACAGGAAAGACAAATCAGTATCACTGTCAACACTGCCCAAACATTTAGTATGTACACGTAGTAACAAAAAAGCTGCAGTCAAGTGGTTTTCCATTGAACAGCATGAAAATTACTTCGCTTGCTGCTAAAACGTTGTTACTGGAGCTCCCGCCTCACCCACGACACCACAGGAACAGCAGCAGTTGCCAGCACCTTTCTGAACAGGACTGTAATTTTCAAAGCTCCACCTCTGCCCAGCTCCTCCTTCCCAAAGGTCTCCTCAGAGCTACTTTGGTGCCTCTATTTTGGGGGTTAACTTGATCAGAAGTACGCACTAAGTGCTGCTAGGGGATGCAAGATCTGTCTCACGCAACAGAAGTATGATTCTCATATTCTCGAGGCCCCTACACCTCAAGGGTCTGACTTGTTTCCAGGGTAGCAGCCGGCCTCGAAAGGCTTTCGTTCAGAAATTCAGGCCATTTCCATGGGATGCTGCAGAGGCGTGAAAGGCAGGTTGTCAGGTATGCCAGCAGAGCTGCCAAATACCTACCACAGTGCTCTCACCATCTGCCATCTCCGCTTGCTACTCAGACGCATTTCCCAACAGAAATGGGAAATCTGGAAAAAAAATTTATACTTCAAACTACTCAGAAGGGCAAGAGTCAGTGACAATGGGTGGCAGGAATGGAAACTGCCCACAAGCCTCATAGCGCCTCTGAAGTTTTAGATGACTGAAATACGCTATGAGAGAAAAACAGATCAAGGAACAAACCAGCAGTTTACAATAAAAACCATTTTTCCATGCCTTCTGCCCTCTATGCTGAACCCACTTTGACATATGCACAGCTCCTGCTGACTTCTTCCCCTCCATCTTCTACCACCCCAGCTCGCTCCACCTCCTCAGCGCCCAGCTGGCTGCATGTAGGAAGCTACAAGACCAAGCAGAATTGAGCAACTAGGGTAAGAAAAAAAAAAAAAAGGGGAGCCATTCCTTAAGTATGTCAGCATGCTTCAAAAGACTGAAATACCACTGTACAGGGCTTGACAGTAGAACACCCATGCTTAGACCGAGTAGTCCAAGGAAATAAAAAGGACATGATCAAAGGTTGAGGGAGGGTTTCCTTAGCTATGGTAACACCACGAGCCATATATGTGGTCACTCAAATGCAAAAGCGTGGTCACTCAAATGCAAATGCATCTTTTTAGGTACCAGTTACTTTGAAAGTTAGCTGGGCACACAACGTCCCCTCCTCTGCATCTGTAGAGCTTTGAAAATTCCAGCCAAAGGGATTTCCAGATACAACATTATCCCTTAGAGTTCTCCTACGATTACACAGAAAATTAATATTCCAGCCAGATGTTAAAAATGCAAAGCATGTAATCTTCCCAATGCTGACTACAGAAAGACATTTGAAACTTTAGTCGCTATCTTGTTCTTTTTTTAAATTAAAAGATAGTAGTCTTGTCTCATTTCACCTTCTGTCATTCTTCCCAGCACCTAAAAAACACTTCAGCCTACCAATTAAAAATCTACAACACACTGACTATTTTTAGGAGCATAATGAGTTAAACTGTACAATCAGAAATATCTTTAAGTCAACAATGAAGATCTGATCCTTCAAACAGCAGCACTGCTACAGAAGAGTTACAATAAAGGAACCTGAAGGTCAAATTGTTAATGAGGCAGAGAGGAGGGACATTTGAGATACAGCTCTCCGCCAACCTCAGCCCACATTTTTAAGAGCCACGGCAAACTTTCAGAACTGGGAATTCTTCTTCTAGTTCCACACATGACGTTTGCAGTGATCAACAGCCTAAAGGGAAAGAAACAGTGTACGTTAGCAGAAAAAAGCCTGTTTGTAAACAAGTGTGCATCTACATATACAATTCAACACCTTATTCTGAGTCAAGATCTTGGGAGCAAATCTGGTTTTCTTAAAATAAGTGATTCCAGAGAGGACTAGAATAAATAATAGCCTCGTCCCCACCCAGAAGCTTCAGGAAAGAATGCTGATGACCCTTAGCCATTAAGGCCTGGCAAAGAAAACATCAGACCACAGCAATGCTGGAAGCCAATTTTTAGAGCCTGATGAGAGATCGTGACATGGTCTGTTGGCTGCAGGAACACAGACTAAATATAAAGCTCACGTTGTACCTTACTAGAGATTCTGAAATGCTAGCAGAGGGGTGGGGGACAGGAACAAAGGGGAGAGGAAACAGCCTGCTTTAAGCAAGCTAAGAGCTATGGAAGACCCTCTAATCAAACTCAACCACCTCTACCTAGTACCCTTTTGCTTCCTGAAACTGGAATTCATCCACTTGGAAGTGTGGTATAGAAGCCAGAAAAGTAAGTTTATAAGGAGCTATCAAAGACCAATAAGAAACTTGAGACAGAATCCTGCTTTACGTACATTGCACTGAGCAGCAGTCTCCATGTTCTTACACCAGTAACCTGGACCCCAGACACAAGCATCATCCCCCAGGAGAGGCTGTTTAGCTGATCCACAGACTCCAAGTTTCTGTGAGAAGAACAGCAGCAGAGTCAGCATCTTCCTATTTGCATGAAGAGATCTCGACTCCAGCCTTGTGTCTCAGCTTCCACCTGACTGAGTGTGGAAGCAACACCGAGGTAACTTCAGGAGCTCCCACAGCACCACGCTCAACTGACAACTGCAGTTGTACTTGCAGCTGAACAAGTAGACATGAAGCAGTAATCTGACACAAGGAAGAATTAAGTTACCGGAACTGCTTCTTCATATTAAGTTTCAAGAAACAGAGCTTCTAGAAAGGGACCTTTCTCAAGAAAGGTCATTTAACTTCCTCTCATCAGATTCAGGGCACACTACACCTTGTTACTGAACCTCAACAGGGGATAACCACTGGCAGCTCTTTTCTTCTGTCCTTCCTTGCACAAGGCTGGCAGTCAGACAGCTGTCCATTCAGTAAGCCCGAGGCCTTGCACAACCGCATTTGCTCCAAGCATTCAGTGTGCTGATTTTTATTCCAGCAGAGTTTCTGCATGCTAGGCACTGAAAGGCATACAGAAGAGTAGGCAGGACTGTATCAGAGCCCATACTCAATAGATCTGAACGCAGTACTCACAGTGCAAACAAAAGTGGGATCCATCATCTCTGCCAAGAGTTGCACAACCACAGGTTCATACTGTTCCACAAACTGAACACACTGTAACAAAACACAGGTTGAGAGATTCTCTTGTTAAAGCCTTAGAAAGAAGAGGAAGATATAGTCTTCAGCAGGCAGGTCTGTACGCTACTCCAAACACCCCAATAATACACTCCAAACTGATAAACTAGAGGCTTGAGCTCTACAGATCGAAAAGGACTCAGCATTGCACTACTCACACAACTAGATCATTTTTTTGCTAGCTCATACCTGCCTGCAGCTGTCTAAGAAATGAGAGAAAGAAGAATCTTATGATGAGAAAGGGGTCAAAAGGAAAAGAACAAAGCAGGACAGGCTTTGGGAAAAGCAGCAAGCAGGACAAGCTTTGATTTGCAAAGCTTAGTCCCTAATCGTGGAGATCACTGCTGTCTCAAGAGGAAAGCACACTGAACAAGCTGGAGAC